CATGGTGGACTTCTCCGAAAAATACCTGGAAAGGTAGGACACCCGGCACCTCGCGAGGAACGGGATGCGCTGCCCAGGGGATGGTTTGGAAGCAGTGCGGGGTGATGCTGCTGGACCTCGCGGTCATGCTGGGGTGCCGGGGCAGATCACTTTATAGACACAGCTCCGGAGTGAAACCAGCAATTTTTAAATGCAATTATTTTTTGCTGTGGCGTTTATTGTGCAGTGTGGCAGCAGCTGGGGGCTGTGCACGCCCAGGGTCGGTGCCGCTCCTTTGCAAGGGTGTGCAAAGAGGAGCAGCACGTGGAAATTGGGGAACTTCCTTAGGAGGTGTTTGCCTGGTGTGTTCCAGCTGGAAAATCCAACCAGGAGCCAGGACCACCTGCCTGGTGTGTTCCAGCTGGAAAATCCACCCAGGAGCCAGGACCACCTGCCTGGTGTGTTCCAGCTGGCCTTGGGCTGAGGGCTTTGCTGTGGAGGTGACCCACATGTGCCACCCAGGGGTGCTCAGTGCTCTGCCAGCCCTGCTGCCCTGGGAGCTGCTGAGCTTGTTGCTCCAGGCTGTGTGGGGTGGCTCATCCTCTGTGCCGGTGGGTCCGCGGCTGCCGGCGGTGCCGGTGATGGGAGGCAGATGGTGCCTGGAGCGTGAGGATCCACGTTTGGATCCGCTTTTCCCACGTTTGCAGGTGCCTGGCAGCGGTGGGAGTCGTGTCCTGCTGGGATCAGGGGGTGTGAAGGCAGTGGAACTGTCCGTGTCCATCAGGGTATGGATGGCACCAGGGACTGGGGGGAGCGATTGCCCTCTGCAATAATTCTGTGGCACATTGGGCTGAGCCCTGGGGTTGTTTTATTTTTCCCAGTGGTTGCTGTGTTTTACCCTCCTGGGGCTGGAGAGAGCTGTAGGTCTGGAGAGCATCACCTGGGCTGGGGTGGTGCATCCCTGTCCTGAATCCCTCCTGTTCCCCTCGTGTCCCTGGGCATGGCTTGGCCAGGCAGAGGTGACTTCTCTGAGCATCCTTGCTGTCTGTAACATTAAATTTGCAGAACCAGAAAGATCAAGAAGGGAAAACTGAAGCTGCTTGCTTAATGAGATGTTGTCAGATAAGGAGCTTCAGATTCAGAGGGTCCATGAGAAAAGACTGATGCTCTTAGGTTTCGATAAATCCGTTATATCCACAGGCAGCACAAGACTGTCCGTGTGCACTTTATGATGTGATCAAGGAGAGGTATTTTAAGTGGAAAAAATTAAAACCACAGATGGAAGCTGTAATGTAATTAAGACAGAATTCGTTATACTTGCTTTTTAATGAGTGACAGATCACTGTCACTGGGAGAAGACTGCCAGAAAAGGGAAAGCAAGGCCGGAGCGCTAATACTTGACATTGCTGCACGTGTTGGGTTTTTGAGAGGGGTTTTTGCACTTGTTGGGTTTTTGGGAGGTGTTTTTTGCACTTGTTGGGTTTTTGGGAGGTGTTTTTGGTACCGTGTTGGGTTTTTGGGAGGTGTTTTTTGCACTTGTTGGGTTTTTGGGAGGTGTTTTTTGCACTCGTTGGGTTTTTGGGAGGTGTTTTTTGCACTTGTTGGGTTTTTGGGAGGTGCTTTTTGCACTTGTGGGGTTTTTGGGAGGTGTTTTTGGTACCGTGTTGGGTTTTTGGGAGGTGTTTTTTGCACTTGTTGGGTTTTTGGGAGGTGTTTTTTGCACTTGTGGGGTTTTTGGGAGGTGTTTTTGGTACCGGCTGCAGTGACCGCGCAGCGCCACGCGGGGGC